AGAGAGAGAGAGAGAGAGAGAGAGAGAGAGAGAGAGAGAGAGAGAGAGAGAGAGAGAGAGAGAGAGAGAGAGAGAGAGAGAGAGCAGTCTCTGAATGTGCCCGTGGGAAGTATCTATGAAACTCTCTCTTTGGGACTGTTTGGACCCCATCCTCATCCCCGGACTATAACGTATGGTGATTACAGCTGTACTTTGGGCATTTTTTCAGGCTGTATAGAGCAATAATGACCGTGCGTTCCATTCGGGGGGAAGACGGTAGTTGTGAATCGCTGATCGTATCCCACCGTTTTCCTGCTTCTGGAATCTCTCTCTGAACCTTGAAATCTCTCAGAATTTGAGAGAGACGAATGACAATGAGGACCAGGCGCAGGTACGATAGATACAGCAACAGACGACCGTGTGCAGTGGTTAGGTTGTGGTGCTGAAGGACCTCTTTTTGCTGTCAACGTTGATCTGAAAAAGAGTGCCAAGTGGATGGATTCTAATCTATTCTCCTTTGATTTCCTTCTCTGTTCTTGTTGCGTGCCACCAGAGGATCAATCGACCCCGTGAGGGTTTCAATTACTGGCTGCGATGGCTTCCAGTCAATTTGCATCGAGGGCTTAACAAACTGCTGCATGCCGACCTGCCATTTCTTGGACTGCGGTATCTTCCCTTCTCGAGTGCAGAGGGTGCAGGCATTGGACGTGGGTCTGATGCATGGGGAGTGCGGGACCCATCTTCACTGCCATCGTCTTCAAGAAACATGGTAGAAGGTGTGACGGAGGCCGATCCAGTCAGAATAGCGGAAGCAGCGAAGAAGAATTTTGAGAGGTTTGCAACCTTTTTTCTTTGCAGACCTTGACTTTTTTTTCTTTTTTTTTTTCCCCTGTTTGCTTTTGTTTTGTCTTGTGCACGTGCGCGCTATCTTTCTGCTCTCTGGAAGGGTGTGTTTTTCGTATACTATGTCTTTTCTTTGTTTTTTTGTTTTTTTTTGTTTAACTTTGAACAAGGAAAAACTCGGCTCAAGGAAATGAGCCGAGTTTTTCCTTGTTCAAAGTTAAACAAAAAAAAACAAAAAAACAAAGAAAAGACATAGTATACGAAAAACACACCGGAAGGTGGGTTCCTCAACAAAGAAGGTGGGTTCCTCAACAAACAACCCGGAAAAGTCACATACTGTACCGGGACCACCACCCAGCTTAGGTGCAGGCGATGGGAGTACCCAGCTTAGGTGCAGGCGTTGGGCGTAATGTGACCAGAAGCAGAATGGCCAACACCGTCCCGCTGCACTGACAATCCACAAACCTGGGGGGGGGGAAATGAACCACAAGGCTATAAAAGCCAAAATTGAAACGAGCCAAAATTGAAACGGGGAAAAATTGAAACGAGCCACGACCCTGAAGAGGAAGGGAAAAACAAAAAGAAAAGGCCACAAGTAAAGAAACTGAACAAACCAAAATTGAACATGGCGTAAGCATCACCCTCCTGAAGGGGCAGGTCCACAGTCCTTTTTTTTTCATTTTTTTTTTTCAACTCAATTATCAAACCAGATTAAAGAGGAACATCGTGCATCCAAAATTTTCAGCGCTGAACAGAGTTACAAGTCTTCTCACCCAACATGAGTTCCAGGCCTGGCGCTCATCAGCGCCAGCTGCCAAATATCAACAAAGCGCTCAACACGTAAGTGTCACCATAGCTCACACCTCCCCCTCTCTTGTCTCTTTCTTCTCTCTCACCCTCTATGTCTATAGTCCTGGTCTACTCCCATTCATCATGCATGTACACTCCCTATCACACGAGGATCTACTCTGAATACTATTCACTGGTGTCTCCTACTAAGCAAACCAACATGAGAAAACCTCCTACGACAGAAAGGGCAAACACCCAAACTAACAGAACGAAGAAACTTATACGGATATTAACCAAGGTTAATAACTATTTGTTCAACTACTGTTTAAAGATTCAACAGCAGAAGGATGATAGTAGCTAGCTCACTGATTCTATTCTAACTAAGTAGTTGAATTGCCATTCCTCGAAAGCGGGGTTTTGTGGTCCAGTGCGGAGACTGTGAAATCTGTTGGTCACACGCCCTCTACAAGCCCACACCTTCCGCCGATCTCGTGCGCTCGCACTGTAATCCAAGCGTGCAGGTATATCCCCTGTGTGTGTGGAAATCTGGGCCGGGGTGTCATTCAGGGCCCACACACTATGTCACATATAACCACGTCTCCCAAAAAATCAGCTCTTGTTCTGTTTGTGTGGAAATCTGGGCCAGGGTGTCATTCAGGCGCACCAGGATTCTCTGCAAGCCACCGCCGCCCAGCGCTTGGGCTGTCTGCCTTGAGCACATTGTGTCTTTAATCTGCTTATCAGAATGATCCGTTATAGACCCTGTTGAATCTCGCTCTTGATCTGTTTATCAGACCAATCCTTGTTGTTTGTATAGTGTTGTCACTTCGTCTATTTAGAGATTTAAGAGATGAGGGGGGGGGAGGGGAATGGAAGAGACGTTCGGAAAGGGAAAACAGTAGTGATACCTGTATGTACCATTCCTATTATAGCACCCCTAATGGAAAAGAATCTCATTAGTTTCCTCTTTTGCCCTCACTGCACGTCTTGGACCACGTGGAAAAACAGCGAAATGATGCTTTTTTTTTTCTGCCTCCGGTTTCATATATTTATTTGTTAATTTAATAATAATAAAAAAGCTGGGGGCATATTGTCTGAGACAGAATACCGGCGTCCTCACGATTCATTCCCCAAAACAATCACTGGGGCCGTTATCCAGCTTCGCCTATGGCTGCAAACAGGGGTCCAGCGTCCCCTCCGGCGCACATGAAAATCTCCGAAACTAGAAAAAAAAACAGCTTGACTACGACCATCCACACCCTCCCCCCCCCAAAAAAAAAAAAAAAAACAGAAAAGAAAACTAAACATCCCACTTCTACTTCTCAGAAAGGGAATTCAGCTCTAGAACCCCCAGCTTACGCTCGAGCTCCGTTACACCTCCTCCTGTTAACCCTTTGCCACGATTTCCCATCATGCACGAAGAATGAAGAGGCTAAAGTGGCGCGCACCAACCCCGTTAACAATCGACCTGTGATCTTCAGGGTTAGGTTAAAGGTTAGACTGGTTCAGTCATGAGATACACACACATCATACCACGCATACACATACACAGAGTAGTTGTGTGAACTCGTGTACAGACTACAAAGTACACGCGAAAGTACAAAGAGCAAAGAGCACGGCGAAATTGCGAAGTACAACATGTACGCTGATTGCAATTAGCCAGCAGGGTACCTTGAGTGAGGTGTTACTTCCGCCAGCTGACCATCCTTTTCCCAGTTCCTTCTGAACCATTTTCTGGCACTCTGCTGCTTGGAACCCGACTGATTCTTCCCCCTCCAATCCGCTTGGATGCTTTGACGCAGTAGAGCTGTTTTAACTTTCTTCATCCGTCTTACCGAGGAGATAGTTTCCCCTCTGATGAACAACAAATTGTTCCTCTCCTCTAAGAGGACACCCAGCTGCCCTCAATGTGAAAACACCTATTGAAATAGCGATGTAAGTACTGTTGTTTAGTGGCCATTAATTAAAATTCTGCTGACCTCGCTGGTCTACGTACTCCCTTCTGCCTGCTTGGATAAAAGGAACCAAGAAACTGCTTCACGTGGAACATCGTGGGCAATCAATTGTGTTGATGTCAGCACCATTGCATCATCTTATCCTCTCTTCAGAGAAAGAGATGAGAAGAAAGAAAGAAGAAAACGTGAATGTTCCCCCACCCACCTTGACCTACCCTCCTCTCCTTCCCAGTCTTCTTCCATCCTTTCCAGTCTTATTGCACTCTGTCATTGCTGCCATCCGACCCATTTTAGTAGCGTCCTTTTGGAGGGGGAGGAATTCTTACCGTTCTACTGGTTCATTTCGCTTTTGAGCCCTCCCTCTTCCGTTTACCTTGTGTTCCATTCAGCAGCTATCTAGCCCTCCTCTTTCATGTCTCTCTTGTACTATGCTCGGGCTGCTGCTACATGGGCCCTAAAAGGACCTGGCCTTGGATTGGGAGGCCCCCAGGCCTCACCGTGCTCATTTTTGGGTGCCTGAGGGCCTGAGTAGGAGTTCCCTGGCGGTAGATAGCTTTGCAGGTCTTCGAGTCATTTTTGTCTCTTTCCATATTTTTGCTCTTTTTTTTTTTTTTTTTCCAAATGCAGGCTCTCCTCTCCTCATATGGGGGGACAGCTGGATTTTAGTATGCTATTTTCTTCTCTCAATGGTTTTTCCCCATCTCACATTACCTACCTCGGGCTGTGTACTTGAACTGGTCTACCCACCTTCTGAACCTGCAAGGGGCATGTCAACCCGCCAGCAAGGAACCCAGCTCCACGTTTCAAAGGCCAACTGCAGGGTTTAGGGTCGAAGACTACACACCACCTACCTATGGAATTGGAACTGGAATTCACTACCGTCTTCACCCGAATAGAACGCCCGGTCATTATAGCTGTATTTATTTGGCACAACTTTCAGCCCAGATATGGCGATAATTACCGGGCGTTCTATTCGGGTGGTAGCCAGAGCTAAGCTATCCTAAGGTTATGGGTCCACGCCTACCTATCCCTGCTCTGTGCGGGGAACAGTACCCAAGCTCCAAACACCTGGTGCGGGCTAGAAAGAGCCAATTACCTCCCAACCAGCCAGGAGACCCAAGCCAACAATCTCCGGTGGTGAACCCGAAGCATACCCCCAGGAGGTCGATTCTTCATGTGGTCTTACGCTATCAACTAAATACAAACTTAGGTCTTTGAGAAAAACAGTGTATCGGTTGGGCAAGGATCTCAAGTGCCCAGAAACGAGGGGATCGTAAGGACGACATTGGGTATCGGACCCACGACCTCCCTCCTGAGTGCCACTTACGTGCTCAGCCAGCTGAGCTAGCCTGCTTGGGCGTCTTTTGTGGCCACATGATTTTGTGTTTCAGAGCACTTTTGTCTGTTTCAGGTTTTGTCTGGTCTGACGTGATCGTTCAGACTTTTCTTTTTGTCTGAACAGGCACTTGTGCCTGTTTGGACCGGTCGGATACTGGGTCCCCAAGTTTTGCCCAGTTCAGGCCTGAGATGTTTTTGCCTGCATCTGGACTGGATCAGGCGTCTGCAGTGCCTGGCCCAGTCCTCGTCCATTCTGCACTTGTCCTGCTGCATCAGCAGGGCAGGCTGCATGTCCGGTAGGGACCCAGGCCGGGCCAGCTGTTCTCTAGGCCAGTCCTCAGGTCCAGGATTTCAAAGGGTCCTGAAAATTGACTGGAAACATTGGCACCAGGCTCTGCGGTATATTGCTGTGCCAGGCCTGACTCTTGGACGCAGAGAGAGTCATGAGGACTCGACATGCTGCGGGAGAGCAGTGCGAGTGAGGGAACCTGCCATAGGTAGTACAGCATTAGGGAACACTCCTTGTGCTCACATCCGAAGGCTTTTTTTTACTCAACTGCAACACACCCTTTGTAGGATTCGTATATGGCACCCACTCTGTGCGGTATTTGAATATGTTACGTCCTGAGGAGCTTGGGGAAGAGGTTAACAGAGCCCTAAATTTTCAGTAGTTCTTTTTCCGGGGTCATTATAACAAACGTCCCACACCTTTTAAGCCAGACTTTTCACCAGTCCGTAGAGTGAGACACCAAATAAACCAACAGCAGAAAAGAAAAAAAAAGTGGGGTACCCCGTTAACCTCTTGAAGTGGAATACAAAACACACCCTGTGGTAATTAAGAGTGGTACGTGGGGTTGTACCCCTAGCAACGCAGGCCCAAAGATAACCATTGCATGACCTCATTGTAAAGCTCAGACATGGCCTGACGTCTAGTTTTAGTGAAACCACAGCTTACCAATTACTTGCTGCCATGTAGCTCCAGAACAGGTCAGCCACGAAATGTATCGCACATGACGTTGAAGCAAAGGAACATTTGTCGTTTGGGTATAAGGACAAAAAAGGCTGCACATATCCTCCCATCTCCTGGCACCACCTCCACCTTTCTTGCACACTCACTGTTTGACAGTATCTCCCTTCACAACCAACTACCCACTTCTGTGATGCACCCCATTTATCTTCATGGCCAAAAGTTTCATGTGGTCATGGTGGATGGGCGAGCCAGTCTGAGCACTCTCTGCAGGCTCAGCACTCTCCCGTCCCTTGCCCTTGATCTTTCAAGTTTTGCTCAGCTTTTGCAACGGATCTCTTGCCCCCAAACTCTGAGAGTTTTGACTCCTGAAATGATGTGTGCATTGTGCACAGGGGTGGGCCACTCTTGGTGATTGCTTCAGGGAGGGACACTGTTGCTGTAGCTGCCGAGATAAAAAGGCTTGCTCCCGAGGCGACATTTGTCATACAGGTAAACTAATTCTGCAGAGGTCTTCTGAGTTTTTTATAACCATTTTAGGGATGTTTTTTATAACCTCTTTTGGTGATCTCTGCCGTCGCATGTCCCAGCCACAACCTGTTTTGCAACTTGTCCTCTGTATATGCCAATTTTCAACATCATGCGACGGTCCCCCATTGAACCCCAAGCCCAAATCCTCAGATCCAATTGCATGCACGGGGTTGGGGGGGGCAAGAGAGAGAGAGAGAGAGAGAGAGAGAGAGAGAGAGAGAGAGAGAGAGAGAGAGAGAGAGAGAGAGAGAGAGAGAGAGAGAGAGAGAGAATGTGGAAGAGGTAGAGACTGAAGATACAATTAAAGAGGGAGGGAGGGATAGTAGGGAGATCAACTGAGAGTTGTAGAGTGAAATGGAAGGATATATAGTGATTGACACATGTAATCACCTCTCTGCAATCCTATTGCTGCTTGAGTGTCGCCAATTGCATAATCGCTGGTTAGTGAGTTGCACAGGGAAGCAGAAGCCCTCATTGAATTGAGTTCCATAATCGTGGTGTGGTTCGTGATCTTCCATACCATGTGGTTCGTGATCTTCCATTTCGATCTTGGTTGCTGTGATCTGTGCGTTTTTGTACACTGATGGTATTATCTCCCGGATCTCCTATACTGCTGTCTGTTGTTTTTGTTTCTGCCAGCGGGGATTGTGGATAGACTGTATGTAGAGTATGCAACATCATCTGCTAACTACGGGATAGTCATGTGCTCGCATTGGCATATAACTCCTTGGATCATGGCATATAAAGACAACTTGATTTACTGGGTGCTAGTGAGTGTTCAAAAATATTTGCGCAATTCATTATGCAACTTCCAAGTATGCCTGTGTTTTGCAAGATGTCAACGTCTTCGGTAGCTGCAGTGGCAAGCAAAGATATCTTTCTGTTGTTGGTCTGGGTGTTTCAAACCTGGATTGAAGCTTGAGCGGCCGGGAGGGCAAAGTGAGACATCCGATGGCATCTTTTCCTTGTGCATATAGGACATCCTATACAGCTTACTCTTTGCTGTTGCATACTCGTGAAACACAGTCATAAGTATGGCGCAGATTCCCAGAACCGACCAGATAATGCAGAGTGCATACAAATACAGCGGAAGACTTGAGATACATGGATTGACCCAGACCTGACTCAGACTGCAACGAAACACTCACAAACATACATCGGTGGTGTGAAGCCCTGGCCTTGGACATAGAAGAAAAGGCCAGGGTCAATTCTCATACACGGATGAATGGAGGAGGAGAGACGAAGGGAGGAGGAGAGGGAAGATGACGTCAGCTCAATGTTTCCAAAGATAGTATCTCGAAATATCAGAAGTAGCGAACATCCGAAATGTCGTGAACACAGAGTCTCACAGTGTCTCAGATATCGATCTCACAATGTCAAGGTACATCTCCAGAGGTAGATGAAATCAGATCCCAAAGTAGTCCTCAACCTGCAGTCTCAATGTTGCTATCCCCACATCATCAGAACTCGTAACCACCCTTCATACTTGTAGTAGTCCAGTAGGGTAGCCCAGAAGTAGACTTAGACTTAAGAGGGTAGGAGGAGAGAGAGAGAGAGTGGAGGAGGAAGAAGAGGGAGGAAAGGCAAGGCCTTTCTTCCTGATACCTGAATGAGGGAGCTATGGCGCTGCAGGGCTGGCGCTGGGCCGCGGGCTGGGCCGGAGGCTGGCTGTTACATGCTGCGCCTGCAACAGGCTGCACGGGCCATTTCCAGGCCCGTGACGTTTTCAGGCCAAAAGCCTGATAACAAGGGCCTACAGGCCCTGTGTCGTTTCAGTCTGAAAGCCTGAAGACGAGGGCCTACAGGCCCTGTGTCGTTTCAGGCTAAATCAGGGCCTTTCCGGCCCTGAGTGTTTTCAGCCTGAAACTGAGGGCCATTTCCGGGCCCTCATGAGTTCGGCCTGCCCCGAAACTCAGGCACCAGACCAGGGTTTTAGCTCAGGCCATTTCTGGCCTATTTTCAAGACAACCTTTGTTCGAGTTTCAACCCCAGGGTCTGGCACGTTGAGGCATTGGCAAGAGCAGCCACCTGGACGGGCCAGCACTATATAAGACTGGCCCGCCCTGCAGGCTGCAGGTAGTTCATAGGGACTTCCCAGGCACTTCACCTGCAGTGCAGGAGGCAGGAGGTAGTCTTCAGGATTCGGCAGCAGCACTCTGGAGGAGCGCTGCAGTAGTAGTAGTAGTAGTGTTAGCAATAGTCTTCAGCGCTGGGCGCTTTGTAGCGTTAGCAGTAGTCTTCAGCGCTGGGCGCTAGCAGCAGCTAGAGTAGTACTGGAGAGAGAGAGAGATTGGGCGGAGGCCAGGGATACTTACCTGCAGCGCCATAGCTCCAGCTTCGTCTTCGAGGTACCTGCAGCACAGCGCCAACTTCACAGGTTAGTACCTGGCACGTGAGAGAAAGAGAGAGAGTTCTTCTTCTTCCTCTTCTCAGTCCACCATCTCCCTCTCACCCTCTCGTTATCTGACTTCACTGCATCAGCAGACTATGAGAGAGAGAGCGAGAGCTTGGTGACATTTTGGATCCAGACTCGACATTGGACATCAGTCCTTTTTACGAGGGATTATTTGGGACTTGTAACGAGACTTGGTGTTGACGACTTTCCCATCTCCTCCCTCCTCTTCGTCTGTGCATGTCTGGACCTGGCGCCCTCCTCCTGTGTATAGCGCCAGGCCCCTTCACACCGTGTGGTGAGAATGATGCATGTTTGGTCTGCTTCGCAACATTGATTGGGCTAGTCATTAGTATCCCAGTATTCTGCTGCGCTATCTTGCACGACGTGGTAAAGGTCAGTCCCGGTCAGGTCAGGATCTGTATCTAAGTCTTCCCTGCGCTATCAAGCACCATTTTGTATGTATCGGAATGTACATTGCTGGTTGAGATTCCACTTGCACTGCATTGTCCATTCAGTCCTTTTTATCACATTGCGAATCCTCGGTTTTACATTTACATTGCCCAACTGGGCATGTAACACTGGCACTCTTCCACCGCTGTGCTATCTCTCCTCCACGCTGCACTGATCCTCTCCCGCTGCTCCGTTGCTAATGCTGAAGTGCTGCGGTAATCCTGTAGACTAACATCCTCGCTACCAACCTACTGACTGAGGCTGGTACCCAGCTGATATAGTGCTGGGTCGGCCTCAGTCCTACTGAGTGCCTTTGGGTCTGGACCGTTGATCGGGCCCAACAATTCAGATCCGATTTGAATCTGAAAAGTGGCGCCTAAAACTGCGCCGCGGGCCGGTCCTACCGATGGACCGGTACCTGGCCTAACCAACTAACCGTTGGGTCTGGTGGGGTCGAAACGAGGCGTACCGGACCCTAAACTGAACCGACGGTTCCTAGGTCTACCTGGACGTAGCTGGGACCGTCGTGACCTGGTACCTAGGCCTAAACCGTGCCTACTACAGAAACGGGCCCTAACTGGGGCCCGTGTGGTATCAGTATGCCACATTGCTCTAAGCTTCGTGTCATTAGAAATGCCCACTGTGACGTGGTGCATTAATGGATAGTGAATCTTTTCCGGCTACAGCGGTCGTGGTCGTAGTTTCTGTGTACGTTCTGACACATTGCTACTAGCAACTCAGCTTGGAGGTATTTTTCCCGTTTTTTTTATTGCACTTCGCTGATGGAAGTCCACGTTGACCAGAAGAGCAGAGAGGGACAAAAACGCTCGCAGACGCACAAATCGTGCGCGCGCGCACACGCGTGAGAGAGAGAGAGAGAGAGAGAGAGAGAGAGAGAGAGAGAGAGAGAGAGAGAGAGAGAGAGAGAGAGAGAGAGAGAGAGGGTGTGCAGATGCCAAGGGATCTATGGGAAGTTGTAGGGAGAAACGGTAAGGAGAAATAGTTATCTACACGTGTAATCAGCGGTCCCTGATCATATGTATTTCTGCCAGCCGATCTCCGTTTCCGTAATCGCTGGTTAATGAGTTGCCGAATGTAGCAGAAGCTTGCACTTCACACTTTCATAAGGATGAAATTCGATGAATGCCATAGTCCCTGATCTTCCTTTCCCACCTTGGTGGGAGTGATCATTTTGCGTTTGTACACTAACGGTATCATGCCCCGAATCTCACACTTATACCAGGGTCTTCGATTAGCATTCGGCGACTGTCACGAGGACAGAGAGCTGGCATGAGATAGGCTAGATTGATAAGAGCTAGCAAGTAGGAAGAGTGGTCAGGCCTCTGTCAAATGTAGAGGCACTACGTTCTTACTGTTTTGATGAGGGGAGGCGGCGGAAGGGGGCTTTCTTTATGAAGAAAATTCAGTGAATTCTTCTTTCCTATTTGGTGTGCAGTCTGCTTTGACTTCCTGCTATCAATTCGGTTGAATCATGTACGGCCTTCTGTGAAGTGTCGCAATCTGGTTTATTGGTGTTCTCATTGCATGGTTCCTTGCAATAGAATATACGTTATCTTTTTGTTAACTACGTGAGAGTTATGGCAAAGTGGTATAACAATTCGCGTGGCCAACATGTCATATAAAATCAGCATTTGGTTGAGGGGGTGGTCAAAACTACTTGCCTCTTTCATCGTCAGATACAACTTCCGAGTATGGCTTTTGTTGTTTGAGATTGTGAAGTTGATTTGGCACTTGCAGGTGCAGCCGAAAGATACCTTTCCATTCTTGCTCAGCGTGGTTTTTACTTTTTTAAATCTTGGTTAAAATTTGAAACGCAGGATAAAGTGGGTGCGAGGACATCTTCTCTGTGCATCTGTAGTACACTATACATGCCTATACATCCTACAGTGATTGGCGTTTGGTTTAAGCCTTGAGTGATTGATAATCAATGCGCAGGGTACACAAACTGGATCCTGAAAATTTAATGATCTGCTGTGGATTTCTTTTGTTTACGGATGTTTGCGCTCATAGTGTCTGTGCATGTTTGAACGGACAAAACGACCTGCATTAAGAAGTGTGATGAAACGGAGAAAACGACCTGCGTTATGCAGTGATTCTTTCCGTTTCATCATTCTTTCTGTTAACGCAGGTCAATTTTTTTTCCGTTTCGTCTTTCTTCGGTTATCAAGAGAATACCTCGAAAGAATGTCTAAAAAAAACCGCTGGCACTCGGCTATCAGGCGAATGCAAGAGAATGCATCACATCCTATGAGTTGCATCTCCAACTTTGTTTTGTGCTCACTGCTCTTATTGAAATGGTTTCCTGGGGCAGTTGTTGCTCTTACTAAGTTTTAGATTGAAAGGACCATTATCGGGCAGATTAACATGGATTGCTCACTGCTGACATCAATATGATTTCGTCTCCCTCTTTGAGTCGCTCCTTCAAATGGCGGACCGATGTTGTTCCTTGGAATTTCTTTAACGACTTGTATGGAACGTGTCTTAGCCCAAGGCGTAACTCTTTCGATCATCCATGCAATTCTCTCTCTTTCTGTGCGGTCCAGTTTTTCACATCTCTTGGTTTAACTGTTCTTCTCGGTCCTTTGGTCTCTATCGCTCCATCATAAATATTATGGTGGATGTTTACATTTACATACTTCACACTTGTCATTCCTCTCAGCAGGTCTGTCGTACAGATGCATTCATTTTCGGCGTACGTGTCCTCTTCTATTTGTACGCTTTTCGGTTGCAATCGTCAATGTTGTTGTAATCTAACCAAAAAGTCGACTTGCGACATAAAACAACTTGCATGTCCTTCAAAGCAAAAACGATGAAGTCACGACTTGCTACAGGGTGTCATTGTCAATGTGAAAACATCGTTGAACAGGCAGGCACCTGATTGGTAATTTTAGCTTTTGAAATTTGAATGCATGGTGCTTATGAACCCGAATTCGCACCCGCGATGGGCTTAACTTCCTATCACCGTGTTTACTTGCGATTATCAGATTTGCTTCCCACGTGTCATTTCCAAAAACAGCCTTTCATTGTGGCTGTGAGTCGGAGTGAGTCCATCATGCACTCGCCTACTTTGGCATGCAGGTGGAGACACATTGGCTTGTCTTGTCCTACTTATAAAATGTCTGGACACATCCATTTCTGAATAGTATGAGGCTTAGAAGCATACCGGTTTCATTCCGACGACGCGGATGGACTGGAAGATCTATGGTGGTCTTCAACCACCAAGTTGTCCCAGTACTGTCCAATTTGCAAGTTTGTCTGGCCTTGACTTTGTGATTTCTGTCTGTCTGCTGAACCAAATTTCTGTCTTGATCTTTTCAGTTCAGTACCAACCTCAACATGCATTTCTTCACCCGAATATATCGCCCTGTCATCATAGCTGTATTTGGGGCAACTTTCAGTCTAGATGCAGGCATAATGACCAGGCGTTCTATTCGGGTGAAGAAGGTAGGAACTGAACAAGGGAGCACAGGGTGAGCTCCCAGATACATCAGAACTTGGAAAGTTCCAAAATTTGCAGACCGAGACATGTTTGACATGGAGACGGCAAAAAGTTTTCTTAATCCGTCCTGAGAGCTTGCAACATTTCTCAGGCATCGTCACACAAATGTCATCCTGAAAATAGCAGGTCATTGCAAGGGAACATGACACGGTCCTCGCCACACAAATGTCATCCTGAAGGTCATTGCAAGGGAACATGACATGGTCCATGGCTCTGTGGGTATCTGTCTCTGCTGCTGATGTCATGAGTAGCAGGTACCCAGATATGGCCCAGTTGTGAAGTCTTTAATCAACTGCAAGCAGTTAGCTTGGCGTTGTAAATGATTTGAATGCAGTTGTTGGTGTATTTTTTGTAATACAAGGGAAGGGTGCTTGACATGCTGTTCGGGTGCGTATTGTGCTGCAGATTCAACACCCAAGGTGCGATGTTCGGCAGTTTGATCTGGTTATCACACCGCAGCATGATTACCATTCTTTCACACCGGAGGCAAAGGAAGAGGTTCCCAGATTTCTGTTGCGCTTCTTGATGCCAACGCAACCACCTGATGAGCATGTGGTAAGTCTGGTATACTTGCTTTACATCTAGTTTTTATGTCTTGCTAGGGAAGGAACAACCTTGTCCTTCGTGACATCCGTTTTTCCGTTCTTTCCAGGTATGAGGGAAAATGAATGGTTGCTGTTATGCTTGAACGACAACGAGGACAAGAATCACTAATGAAAGGGATTAATTACATCTCAAAGATCTTCCAAGCCTTTTGCGGATGGCCGTCAGGGATAGCTGGGAATTATTTTCAGGCAGAAGGATCCTATGCAGGATAGGGATCCCAGAACTCATGTTGACTTGTCGCACTCTTTTGTTGAAGAGTTTTGGAATCTAACTAGTTTGCTTGGTCTACACTGTCCTCGAAGACTCTGGGAAGTACACCACTGGCATGTGGTGTCAGGGACGCAGACTCTTCTTCTGAGTCAAGCCACAGTCATAGAGAGCATATTGATGTCCAGGTCAGCCCTCTGCATTTCTTGCCTGTGCTGGCTCTCACTGACTTACACTGGGTTCTGCCTGCAGGAGAGGGAGTAGGAGTACTGTTTCTTGAAGTGAGAGAGGGAAACAACCCTAACTTAGTAGCCTTATCGTGTAGAGTGGTTGATGTCGTAGGACCGGAATGGCTGCCATAAACTTGTCAGTCAGGAATGTCATCTTGATGCCACGGCCCTGATTCTGCCCTTGTACCGCCTTGCACCGCGGCTTGGAAGGCCTTGAGCGGTTCATGTCGAAGGCGACACCGTTGCCATTTGACTCTTGTTGCATGCTGTCAATTGGAAAACGGTCCGTCACTGACAATCTGGCCGCTTCAGTGATGGCCCCTCATAGCAAGGAGGGTGGCAATAGATGTGCTCATCCCTGATGCTGCGGGACATGCGGCAAATAATGCAGGAAGAGAGTTTGAGCCCACCTATGTATGACCACAGGTTAGCTCCAGCACAAGAGGGCAGCGTGGGAGAGAGAGCAAGAAGTGCGATCAACAGTGCTCTTTAACCCCTCCTTCCCGTCGAGGGCCTTTTCGAATAAACTCTCCATCATTACGTTATGAAACCTTGGAATTCATAATGCTTCCACATCACCCAGGAGTCGCCGTTGGGTTTCCACTATGACCTCCCCTCAGCCAACACAGCATCTCACGAGTGTAGCACCACCTTATTCTCCGGCACATAACCCGGGAAAGTCATATTTGACTTTGGGCTAAGGGTTCCGATAACGGTAAGACTGTTAACTCTTAAGAAGTCCAAATATAACTTCCCTGGGAGTTTTTGTAAACAACCACTTTCAAAACCAGCATCTCAGATCTATGGGTCCAGCATCCAGAGTAACTCCCCAGGGCTTGAATGGTCAAGTCAGGCCGAGGGAAAGCCAACGGTCAGGCTCTTCTGGGTCCAGCAATCTCAAAGTCAAAAGATCCCTCCAGAAGTCAACTATGGATACTGATCGCACAGAACCCAAAGGCTCAGAGTATGTTTTCAGAAACATCCAGGGCCTATGGGGCAGTACCAGCTGTCTAGATCGAAGAATCTCAGCCCTCGGTGTGCCAGAGAAAGGTGCAGGCCAGGCCGGTCTAGCACTGCATATTTGAGCTGCCCCAGTGTGGTGCGTTCTTTCTGCTTGTGCTTGATTAGAGGTGCTGAGTGCTAACGATGGATTAGAGGGGAGAGAGAGTGGCGCATTCTTTCTGCTTGTGCTTGATTAGAGGTGCTGAGTGCTAACGATGGATTAGAGGGGAGAGAGAGTGGCGCATTCTTTCTGCTTGTGCTTCAGGAGAATTGCTGAGTGCTAACGATGGATTAGAGGGAGGGAGGGAGAGAGAGAGAGAGAGAGAGAGAGAGAGAGAGAGAGAGAGCTGTCTCTTATACACATCTAGATGTGTATAAGAGACAGCAATTAAAGAGGGAGGGAGGGATAGTAGGGAGAT